GTCGATTGCGTATACACAAGATTTATGAAAAATATTTTGCGTACGCGCGTTGATGAATCTACCGCCTTGTCGCCTGGCAGGTCACAGGCTTCGCTTGTCAGGTTCACCTGTCTGGTTGTGCAATGAGAAAATATACGACGCAATGAATGCTACAGTGTATGCCACCAGCATACGTCCCACACAGTGAATTATACAGTCTCTAGCGCGAGTGATGCGCAGGTGAAAGTAAGAAGGACAGTAAATATATGTAAGTGGTTCTAGGTTAGTGGACGGTCTTTGCTTTTTGTAAGGTCTTAACCGGTCTACTGTTTCTGATAACATCACTGACAATAATCACTGAACATATCTCTGGTAGGCTGTTGGGGAAGGACAAATCTTTACTATATATATATATATATAAATATATATATATTCCCGAGCTATTGATGTGGACAAACTGCACCTATCTTCTTGCATTAGCGTAGACGACTTGATAGTGATCAGGACAGAAGAGCTCTACATCTCCTTGCACTAGACTGTAGGTTGGGTGAGAGGGCGACGGCGATGAGAGGTGGCGAGGAAGAGGAGGAGGAGAAAGAGGAGGAGGAGGAGGAGGAGGAAAAGAGGAAGAAGGAGGAGGGTGAGGAGGAAATGGAGTTGGGGAGGAGGAGGAGGAGGAGGAGGAGGTGGAGGTGGTGGTGGTGGGGGAGGAGAGAAGGTGATGGTGGTTGTGGAAGATGAGAAACGAGAGGAAATAAGCGACCGACATCATGTTTTACCACATACGTACCATGCCACCTCGGTTGACCATAGTGGCACAGATAACTATCGCTTGATAGGGCTCCCTCTGCATGGATGTTTTAAAGTTTGAGCCAATTTAAAACTTGAGCCACCAAAGTTATTCTTTAGCCACCAATGGGAAACTGTAGCCAATCGTATGTGCTAAGCAAGGCATAAACAAGTTATGGGTATGGGAAAAGAGATGTACGAAAAAGTTTTCAATAAAATAAAGTAAAAATGAAATAATGTAGTTTAATGTACATAAAACGGCTGTTGCACCGTTGTACGGTAGTTGCACCAAAGGACTAGGTTACTAAATTACTAAATTACTAGGTTACGGAATTTGTTAGTACTTACACGACACTGCAATTTGACGATTTCATTATTTAATCGTAATTTTGTGAGCAATTAACTCATTCGCCAATTGTATTCGATCGCCACTTAGTGTAGTAAAATCGCCACTGTTATTTATTTTTTTGCATTTTGCGAAGGTGGCGAACGCCAGCGGTAACCCTAGTATCGTATCCCCACAAGACCACCACTACTACATGATTATCGCTACTACTTGCGCTGTTCACCAGTACAACGGAAACCCTGGGATATGCTAGCCATAGTTGACTGTATGTAGAGGAGGTGACGGAGGTAGATATATAGTACGCGGGAAGGATGAGTCACTGACAGCATGTTTTGCCCCCTCGTACGTACGTACCAATGAGCACGATCATGACGACTCATCGATTCTCTCACGCGCCGCTGACTCTCACTTAGTGCACGAACGCACGCACGCACGCGCACGCACACGCACACGCACACACATGCGACCTGATAGGTTAGGCCGTGATAGAAATCAATAGGGGGTATGGGGGAGACAATCTGTTGCGGGGAAAAATCTCGAACGCTCGTTTATACGTAGTGATCGATAGGCTTGTAATAGTTGTAGCCCGTGTGTTCATCAGCAATGGGTGTAGCGCAGGCGCTTAGGCCGTTTCAATAATAAAATAATGGTTGTATAAAATAATGTAATAAAATGTAAAAATATAGTAAATAATGAATAATAATAAAAATGTATAATAGGCACGTTCACACTGGCGGGAATTAGCGGAATGCAAATCTCGGTTTTCGCATCGCGATCGAAATACCGAGATTTTTACAAGTGTGAACGCAAAAATCTCACTAAGTATCGAGATCAGCATCGCGCTGCAAATCGCACTTTTGACTGCGATTATTTGGAATTAGCGCGATTAATTGCACCGCGGCGTGTGTGTGAACGCTCGCGCAAATAATCCCGGTATTTTCTATCCCATCATTCCAAGCGATCGTATCAACATCCGGCAGTGAGCATGCGCAGTTCGATTAATATAATTATCCCGCTCGGCGATTAGCGAGATATTTCCGCCTGTGTGAACAACGACACAATTATCTCGGTATTTCCATCGCGATTAGCATCGCGGTTTTTCTTGTGTGTGAACACGCCTATTAATGTATAATGTAACAATAGTGTAACAATGTAATGTAATAATGTAACAATGTATAATAATGAAATACAATGTAGTAAAATAATGTAATAAAATAATAACACAAACACAAATTGCGTGTGCGTGTGCGTGTGCGTGCGCGTGTGTGTACAATTTGTGTACAATGTATATATATAGAGAGAGAGAGAGAGAGAGAGAGAGAGAGAGAGAGAGAGAGAGAGAGAGAGAGAGAGAGAGAGAGAGAGAGAGAGAGAGAGAGAGAGAGA